ACGAAAATCTCAATACAACAAAAATAAGAGTGAGTCAAATTCTAAAGAGTAGAGTTCTTATATAGAAAACCTAGGAAAAGGGAAATATCACGAGGTCTATCCAGTTTAAAATATTTATGGATTTACATTTATTCAAGTGAATCCTCTCTCTATGGGAAAAAATAAACTGAATGAAGAAACATTAGTTGTTGAAGTGAAGAGCACCATTGAGGAATCATCATAAATTAAGTGTAAGTTGGAGTCAGAGTTGATGTGACGAGTATATCAATCTTATAAGTGACAAAGTGTTGTGTATTATTAACGATGGAGTGTGATGATGAAGAGTCAATAAGCACTCAGAAGTAGCTTATGTGATAATGGTCAAAATACTTTGTTGGTCTTCGGTGGATTGTACTTAGGCAATGATGGCCTGAGGCATACGTGGTCGAGTGACTCGAAGGTTCGAAGGGACGTAGTCAGGTGAGAGTCAATATGTTCATCTAATATGATAAATCATTAGTTCACTCCATGCTTATCCTTACACATGTACAGTTTATGCAAATATGATCAAGATCGTCAAGTGAGAAATCATATGTCCAGTGTTTGTTCAAATGATCATCTCTTATAATCATAATATGCATAGTATGTCAATGCATGTATCTCATTAGATATCATCATGCATCAGTAACATGTAGTCTCATTTATACTATTATGTACGTTAATATATAATGTATGATGCCATCAAATGTATGTATTCATATTTATATATTATCAATATTGATGCATAGCCCCCCCATCAATCATCTATATTAGTATAATTTCATGTTCAATTGATGCCTCAATCTAGCTTCTTATTATATTAGGGATGTCAATGTCATATATCTAACATATTAAATATCATATCATATTGATATCGATCAGATGTTATGAGCAAAAACCATTAATCATAGATTTATATTTTATATATAACTATGATATGTGGAAAAGCTAGTTTGAATGATTCATGTTAACTCACACACAAAACACACATTAGTATTATATTATCATATGAAATCATCATGTTATACTCAATTATATGCGTTAACAATTAAAATATGTATCATTTTTAAGACTGTCCTTTGCATCATCATATTAGAAGTAATATATATATATAATTATGATATATAATATAAATATATTATATATAGTGTATCATTAATTCTATGTATTCATTATTCATATGTATCATAGCAAGTCAAGATTTCTGGTTAAATTATGTCTTATTATTCATAAGGTTGTATATTATCACACTACCATGACATATCATCATATCATATTACATGCAATCTCAATTATGTTGGTAGCTCATAATTAGAGAGTCGTCATCTACTAATTAATCCATATCATTGTCCCCTTTTATGCTTCTAATTATGTACATCTCAAACTCTTAACCATCGAGAGTTTGTCCGTTTTGACCTAAGAGCCTTACAATTTGTCATCTGTGATGTACTTCCAGGAGGTCTACCCATCAGAGATTCTCGCAGGATAAAGCATGCTTAACTATAGAGTTTTGTTAATGAAATATTGAATCATTTACACCAAAAGGAGCCTCAATGTTAAATAATTACTTCTTTCTACTTTAAGGAGTTCATATTACATTAGGGCATCATTATCATCTATCTATCAATATTTAGTGTATTTAGTCATATTGTGATCATCAATGTATATGGCAAATCATTAATCATGTGAGTTCTATAATATATATAACTATGATATGCTAACAACTCTATATATATAATATACATAACAAAGCTATTTGAATAATCATGTGTTATATACACGCACATTAGTACTATGTATCATATGAAATCACCATGTTATACATCAATTATATGCAAGGTAGAACAAATGTAAAAAATGTGTATCATTTTAAGCCATGCTCTTTGCATCATCATATTAAAAGTAATATCCTACATCTGCATCATTGATTCATATGTATCAATAGCAAGTCAAGATTATGGCTAATTATGTATTATTATTCATAAGGTTGTATAGTATCACCTACCATGCAGTATCAGTCATATCATATTACATTAATCTCAGTTATAGTTGGGTAGCTTCATATAGAAGTTGTCACTCCAATTAATCATATCATTGTCCCCTTATGCCTCCCATTATGTAAGCACAAATTCTTAATCATCGATATATTGTCTGATTTGACCTAAAGGCCGTACGATTTTGTCCAGTTGATAACTTCCCGGGAGGTCATCATCCATCAAAAGATTTCTCCAAGAAAAGCATGCTTAACTGTAGAGTTTTGCTCAAGAAATTCTAACCATTACACCAAAATGCATCTTAATGTTTAATATATTGACTTCTTTTACTTAAAGGATTTCAATATCTCCCCCACTTAAGTAATTAATGTCCTCGTCAGTATCCCTATCCCAGAATCATCCACCATGCATATAAGATTCTGGAGAGGCCCCTACAAGTTTAAGTGGTGACTCCTATCATGTCGCACTTTGTCCCATATAGGGTTTAAGATGTGTCTCTCATGATATAGCATTTTATCTTGTATGAAACTTAATTCTTATCTTCCAGTTTGTGTATTACTATGATAACACTTATAACAGCCAAACTCTTAATTATCGAGAAATTGTCCGCTTTGACTTAAGAGCCTCACAATTTTATCATGTTGATGTAACTTCACAAGAGGTCACCCATCCCAAGGTTTCTTTGGGATGAACAAGCTTAACTGTTGAGTTTTTTTAATAAAACTTACATCATTACACCAAAAGGCACCTCGATGTTTAAGAGATTGACTTCTTTTACTTAAGGGGTTTCACACATTATATTATATATCATATTCATTTTAAGGAAAGCCCATCGGCCTACTCTCCTACTCAAGATATTATATCAAATCTCCAACAACTTGAATTAGTCTCCTTCTTTAGCTAGCATTTTTTATAAGTACATAATTCATGATAGATATGTAGATATATTATATTTATCGTGCATAGGCAATGTCATGTAAATCATAATAACAATGTTCAATAATCAATATAGCATGCTCATTACCATATATGCTTATCCAACAAGTAAATCAATATAAATATGTATGTTGTAGCTAAATAAATCATATAATGTCAATTGCACATATCATATCAACTATTAATGTCACATCAATATCTATTTCACACCCTAAGATCAAATGTGAAAAAATTGCCTATTTTAGCCTCTAATTGAACTACTATAGTTCCTAATAATCTATCAATATAATTCAGTCTAGGAGAAACAGATAAAAACCATATACATTAAAATGTAAACCTATGTTCACTCAAAATTCAAGTACAATAATAAGAAGTCACATTAGTATATCAATCAATCTATTTTTCTTCCCTTGATTATAAAATAATAAAACAAAATGCAGAAATAAAAGAAAAACTTAAATATCGATCATCCTCACTCTACTAAATTCTATCATTTTCCCAAAAAATATTTAAAACCACAAAGTGAACAAACAACTCAGTATGTTACTAGAACCTACCACTAAAATCAATGCAAAAAAATAGAAACAATATGAATGTAATAATTCAATTAATGTTAGTATAAATATATAACTGTAAAAGCATGTGGTAATCACTATGAATATTATCAGGTTATATGAGCAATAACAATCTGTGTAATTGTATATTTCATGAGCATTGATCAATAATGAAATAAAGACTCAATATGTTATATCATTTATATGCCTATCAATTACAAAATAATTTAGTTCATATACCCTCTTAGAAAGTTCATACACCTATTATTATCATATGCATGTTATACAATGTTTATGTTATGTATGCATATCATGTATCATGTCCAATGCAATCTACTCAATGTCAGTGTAACATATTATGCATATCATATAATTCATAGCATGTGATTCAGATATATATATATATATATATATATATATATATTCAATGCAATTATCAGTACACTCATCAGTATGTCTATAGTATGCCAAAAATACATGTTGATCTAATTGAACAGTAAATGGGTACATGTCGTATATTATATGTCTAAATACAGTACATTGTGTCATGGTCATCTTATAAATTAATATTATACTATATGTTATAATTAAAATATCATATAATTAAGATAGTGAAACTTTAATATCAATGAGTCAAAATACACAGGAAGATGATGTTAATCACATATCAAAAGTTACATGGTGAAAAATCACTAAAATAAGATCTAATATATTTTAATCACTCTTATGAGAGATAAAATCTAAAAAATCATTGAAACCAAAAGTAAGATCCGGGTTAACTACCACAATCAGAAGACTTTTTTAACTAAAGTGATGAATAGAAATGAACCGAAGCATCCCTTCTTCCTTTTCCGCTCCTCCCTTATATGACAAGCAAAGTGAATGGGAGGGGAGGGATTAATGCATATAAAATATAATATAAATTGCATAAAAAGGATGTTTAGTGCTTAGCCTCGTGGTGCTCTCATGGCCCAATGTCGCAGCATCGCATGTAAAATAGCACTACGTCACAATGCCACCTTAGTATTGTTGTGCTGAATTATTTTCAGAAATTTCAAAGAGCAAAGTGCCACGACGGTGTTTTTCTAGTGCCACGGCCCGACTTAATAAGGATATGAAAATATCTCTAACATGTTACACATAACCCAAATGCTTAGAACAAACTCTAAAAATAATGCAAGATGCTCACTTGCAATTTATACACAAAATCATGCAAGCACAACACAGCTTCTATGAACCTATACAACAACCAATTACACTCTTCCCAGCTTTGAAATAAAAACTTGATGGCTTTTTAGCTAGCATCCCATGCTTTCAAATAAGAAACTTTGGTATTAACTTTATCTCTGTGTGCCTTATAATTTATTTGGATTTCAATTCAATCAAACTATTGACAAAAAAAAATGAAAGTAATGAAAAATGAACTTTGATTGAGTATCATTATCCAATGCATACATGAAAGCATACCCTATGAATCAGTCACATGCACTTTCATATATGATGATAGCAAAAATAACAATTAAATAATTTTAATAAACAAATTGTACCTACATTACATCAGTACAACTTGAGTGCTCAAATAATAGATTCATTAGCCCAATCCAACAGTAACAAAGAAACTAACCTTTCAAGAGCTTCTGAATAAGATATAGCTTACAAACAATGCTTGGATCATTTTCAGCAACAGAAAAAATATGGCAGAAGAATCTCTAAAAGGTGAAGGGATGGGAACAGTAATAGCAGCCCCATTCCAACTAACTATGGTACTATTTCCGCATGAAAATGGAGAATCTTCTCAATAAAAAGCAAAAGATCTTTTGACTTCCTCAGTTGCAGAGCAAGAAGAAAGGTACTGATCCCTTCCTCTAAAATCTAACTTAGCTTGGAAAGTCCTGGCATTTGACATCTGCCTCACAAACCGAGTGAATCGAGGCCAATTATGAGGGTCGAATAAATGTCGATCCATTCGAACATAGTTGAAGGACAAGGAAGACTCATAAGCACCAGCAGAGGAGAGCCTGGAACTCTTAATAACTTGGTCTAGTGATTTATCATCTAATATGGTTCCAGAATTTTCACCTGAGAGTGGTAAGTTATGCATTCTAGCAGCATAGACGAGTTGTCTCAGAAAACCTTCTGGGCTGCTCTTGGAACCTTTGAGCTCCTCAGGATCCTGGATGTCAAAGCATGAGCAACACAAAATCATTTTATATTTACCGAACAAACGTGCTAAAGGAAGGTAGCCATCTCTGGTTATAGTGTTGTAATAGCCAGCAGTTAATTCAGATGGATGGGAACAGGTAAGATAATGCCAGTAGATCCCTGCTACTTTTGCGAAAATCTTTACGCCGGTTTGCAGAAATATTGCAGTTGTTGCCATGCATAATATCTCTCCATGAAGCAGGAGCAGTCCTGAATACCATTCTAGAAAAAATTTTCCGTAGTCTGAATTCCATGAACCATTACTCCTGAAGAAACTTGTCTCTTCTGGATTCTGCGTCAAGTTGCTAACACCAAGAGGGCCGCCGTAGCCCCATTCAGGCATGCCAATATTCTGTGCACATGCTCTCAGTGATGCAAGCATATTCTGCGAAAAGGATTGAGAAAATGTTATAGAAATAGAAAAAATATATATATTCTAAGTTGAGAACCAGCCATAAATGAGGGTACGCTCATGGCCTTATGGGTGGGTATGAGTGGGTACTCAACATCGGGGATAAATCGATTTACATTTTTAATCACTGTATATCTTATATTACTACAATCCTCACTACGTAGTGTGTAGCAGTTAACCACACTGCGACTACGATAAATTCTGATATGCACCTTAAAAGTTTGCAATAAGAGCAAAGGACAATAAGCCTCAATGCCATTAGTCCGTAGCAGATTGCGTTCAAAAAATATGGAAAGTGGGTGGTTATAGGTGGGTACGGCATCCTGAAAGTCACCATGGGTGGGCGAAGCCCGTCCGAGTAAAGTATGGGTATCCAACCAGGACCCCATGTAGGGCTTTGGTCCTAATGGAATGTAAATAACAAATTAACAGCCAGAAGTACGTATTAATATTTAAAAACCTTGTCGTAGCACTGAAATTCACCAAGTTCAGGAGGACTGCTTGGTCGCTTTAGCTTCTCAGATGGACATGAAGGATATCTGAGTTCACCAGCAGGACCCATCCCTACTTGGACCTCCTGCAAAATGTGAAGCAGTATACGGGGTATAAAATTTGTATCATACTAAGCGAAGAATTAAGCACAAAAGTGGAAAGACAAAACCTTACTGTTATTACAATTCCAAGAAAGTGCTTAAAAGTATCTCGGAAGCTCCTCATAAAATCTGAGTAAGTTTGAATGGGTGATCGACCCTTCAGAACGGGAAGATTATCACAACCTAATGAGATGTACTCTTTGTTCCTTCGTCCATACCTATCTGAATAAGCTAAATCTGGTTCTCTATCCATTTCTTTAAGCACCCATTGGGGAAGAGGAATCCTTTGATATATGAGAAAGAAAAAAAAATATATATAAGTTAGTCAATTGAGAACACAAGAAAGTTTCAGCTACACAACGAACTTAAAAAAAAAGTAACTACGAACTAGTGATAGTTTATTTGGACTGCCTGGTTTTAGCTATACAACGATCTTCCTTTAAGACAACCAATTTTGAATATCAAACAGTTGCAGCAGTGCCCAAAAAGTGATAATAATTGCTGAATAGGAATCACATAAAAGTACTATGAAGAAAGAAACCAATATTCGTGAACTATGCAACCCAAAGTTTCTTTAATCATCTTTCATTTCCCCCACTATTACTCTGTCTTTTAAACAGTCTCTCGTCCATTCTATTCTTTCAACTTCTAATCCTATTCCTATCCTACCAAGTGGTTGGAAGTAAATGCAGGCTACTCCTGTGTGCTGTTTGAGGGCTTCTCCTGAGGTGTTCCAGCAGTTTCTCCTACGGGGGACTATTCCTACAGGTTCTGCACTTCTGCAGTTATTCCTGCAGGTTATATTACTTTCTCATTCCTAGTTGCAGCTATTTTTGCATGCTAGAGCATATTTATCAATAGCAAATAGAGAACCATGGCACAAAGTCCTCGTTGAGTTGAGTCATAGCAGGCGTAGCGCACACCATATCAAACATGAAGTAAATATTATATAATTATGAATAAAAATATAGATTAATATGAAAAACTATTAAATTGAAAGATAAAACAACTTGATAAGTGATCAACACCTACTCCACTTAAAATTAAAAATATTACAATCATTTTTCAAGTATCATATTTTTGTAAGAAATTAAACTAGTCTTCTTGATGCATCATCATCATCAAAAGTAAGAAAAACCTCATTTCCTCCATTAGTATCATCTCCTAAATCATAATTTTCTTCATCACCCTCATCATTTTCATTTTTTATTACAACACTGTTAAGCCTAAATGAAGATTCCTTCTCATTGTCTTTAGGTATATCTTTTATCATAAATACCAATAGTCTTTACACAATACTCTATATCAAATCTATCTCATCAATAATTAATTCATTATCTTCATCTGACTCATCATCCATTTTTCCTATTAGCCATTCATTTGCATCATTAATATCATTCAGAAAATATCACCAATCACGTCATGATGGTTGTATCTACGAATCAATTCCCTATTATGTTTTACATAAACCAAATATTTAAAGCTAGCATGATCCATTTTGTCCTTCTTTTACTATGAAGTTGCAATTAAAGAATCATTGCAATTGCCAAATTATAAAAATTCATCATAATAATCAATACATAATTTCAGTTGCACTTACATGTTCAAATATACTCCAATTGCATTCACATTTAGATGAACTATAGGTTAGGTTAAGAATTTTGATTGCAAAACTTTATAAGTTCAGAGCTCCTTAGCCATACAATAGCTACCAATCAGTTGGAAGTTATGAGATATTTAACAATGTTTATTATTATTTAAATATCAAAATATTAATCAATACTAATTATAATTTTACTCAAACTATATTACCTGGTACCCTAGTGGCCCTTTGTCTTATAGCTGGAGAAATAACAAAAAAAGTCATTCATCCCTCAACTAATTGTTAATTGTCTTTTTTATTAACATCCTTAATCAAGCTTCTCATCTTCTATCAAGCTGGAGAAATAACAAAAATATACAGTTGCATGTAAAAACCGAGAAAATTGACTTCTCATCTTCTATCAATAATTTCAAAAATTAGCTTGTTGGCAATAATTGTTTCTCTGGCACTATCCATCACTTCATAAATAACCCATTGGAGGCTTTTTACTATATCGAATAAGCACATTCAACAAAAGGCCACCTATTGAAGGACATATACACCAATATTCCATAATTATTGCTTCAAGATAATTTATTGCGCATGCTTTCCTAAGCATCCTTTATATAAGGACGGAACCCAAATTCCTCACATGTTAACATTTTTTTTCAAATGCAATTGTTGTTGATGAAAACATTGTAATGTCAAGAAAACAATAGCAAAATGAATCTTTGCCATTTTAACTAGTGATCTTTAAATTAGATATCTCATTAAGTCAAACAATCAAGATCATAAATATATGAAACTATGTACCACTACCACCTTAGCTTTTGAATTTTAAAAATATCTTCAATCATTAACCAAATAATGAGGGGCACAAAAAGTTCAATATATGTATGGATATTTATCCATTAATAACTTTTTTATAATATTATTAAAAATCATGCAACAATAAATTAATAACCTACTTAAAAAAGGTATACAAATCAAACCGAAATAAAAGTTTATAGTGAGTGATACACCTGCAAGAACATTCTCAGAAGCATCATCAATAATCACTTAAATGGCACTGCAGTTCAATCTCCTCAATAAACTTGCTCAACTATTCAAATATCTTCACTACATTCTTTAAGTAAGAACAAGCATAAATTGACTTAATGAAAGCAAGTCCTCTTGAAAAACTGACCAACAAGTTGGCTAAACTTATCCCATTATAGGATTTCCAATCATCAACCATAAGAGAACAATCATATCTAAGGCAATCTTCTTTATGGCATTAAAATAGTTGTTGAATGTATCCCACCAGTTTCTTCAAGCAAGGGACTACACCTCATGATAGCTTGGAGGTTTCATCCAGGACCAAATTGTCCAAATTCCTCTAATGTAGGGAAGCTATCATACTTAATAAAACTGACGGGAATGCCAACATCATGCATAAATCAACAAAATATTTGGTTTCTCCTCTCTCTTGTAACCTTTCTAGCAGTATCAATCTCTTTTTGCAATTTACCCTTTCTATGCTTTACCGCATTATCAAGATTTGGGAAAAGATAAAGATAAAAAGGTCCTTTAGCCCGTGCTTCTTTAAGCATAGAAGTTGTTCAACTTTGACTCACGACATTAGATTTTATTATTTGGTATCTTTTGGATGGTCCAAAAGATAGAATATCATCATCCACCATTACATTTAAATCATCACTTGCATCACTATTGACAAGTGACATTTCATCAATTTGATCTTTTAACTCTTTCTTCTTCCTAAGAGAATTATGTATTTTTTTTATGCACCATTGATGCTTGCTTTATTTTGTTCGGAGCCAAGATAGGCAGACATGATGCATCGATGCTGTCTCTGTTCAAAGTCGAGAAAATATGCTAAGCGAGAAGCGAGAGGGAGATGGCAAGGGCTCGCAATGGCTTAGAGTGGGACCTACAATATAAGCCATAGTTTTTATTTACTATTTGGAAAAAAAATTACAAAGTTAAAAAATAAAAACATAAATATTAATTTTAAATCTTAAACCCTAAAAATTAACATAATATGGGTTGTGTAGGATGTGTCGTGTTATTGACCCTGCATGGAACAAATAGCATGTGTCATTTTCAACCTATCATAATGCCAAGCAAATGGTGTCGAGGATGCACCGTGCTGGGCCATAGGCTATGGCACGCGCTATTTTGTGCTATTGACATGTATGATAAAAACTGAGAATGCTCTTATGCAAGCTCTGTTCATTTATGTCAGTTTTGAAGAGGGTTGCTCGTGTTATTGTAAATGTGGTTTTCTCTTATGATAGTTCTACTCCAACGTTTCTTACCTATTTAGTGCAACATAATGCTTATAAATGGACAATGATATAGAGTACGAATTTTTAAGCTAATGTAACATCCAAATGAGGTAGCCTTCGTAAATACAATGCATACTACTTTGCATTAACATGTAATTAATCTAATACCAAGTCATTCAAATGTTGCATTTATCCAAAAAATTTGGGCACTTTCGCGTTGTCCTTTTTAAATATACGTTTTAGACATATAGAAAAAAGTTACACATGCATAAACAGATGTTTTTAAAATTCATAAATCTTTCTTCTCCTTCCAAAATTTTAATCTTTGATCAAGTGATACTTAATTGAGAGTGTGAAGCTTCCCACAACAAGTTAAGTCTTTCCCAATTCTTCTTTATAGCTCCCTTCCTACCTCTCCCCGTTTCTCTCTATTGTGTAATTTCCTTCTATTTCTTATGATTGGTTGAAGAGTGATTGATGTCTTCCAATTCTTTTGCAATTTGATTTCGAAACTCGATCACTTTTATGACCCTTTATTTCTTACTACCATATTTATTAGGACCAAATCTTATCATAGAATTGGATTTTAATAATGTTTTGTTTTTATCATTAGTAAAAAATTAGTGTGAGATTAATTGCTTGCTTTACAGTTAAATTTTCATATTCTTTGCATGAAATGATTGCATCTAACTTGACATTACATATTAGATTTGCATTATAAAACTGTAAACACTATAATATGCTTGACATCATTTGTCGTCCTCTCTAACAAAATGTTTTAGGAATCAACCTTAAACTACGTATGCATAGGTATGGGTAAATTTAACAAGTTTCCAGTAAAAAATTACAAATCTTTATAATATAAGCATACTTCTCATTACCTTGGCCTGATGCCGTGATAAGAATATACGTATAACAGATCAATCGCAAACTTCAAATAAATTCATTCTTACATATATTACAGTGTTAATGACGCACAAGCATATATTCATTGGTTTCAATTAAACTCACTATGAGTATTGGATCTATTTATGAGTATCATAGTTATTAATGATTGAACAAAAGAAAAAAAAATAAACCCTCATAACAATTAGACTGTCTCTCTCAAGATCAAACAATTCAACGAAGTTGTGTATGACTACAGGTTCTTGAGACTAAGAATATATCAATTAACTAAATTCTTACAATTTAGATGTGAAAGCCCTTCAAAAATAAGAATACATCAATTAACTAAATTCTTGCAATTTAGATACCTGTTTTTAGCTCGTAGGACTTTTTCTTAATTTAAGATCTCTTTCACTAGTTGGAATAAGAGAATTAACATCTTCTATTATCATTACCACCATTTCCAATATGCTCCACAAAAACAAATCCCCAACCCCAATTTCAATCTAAACTTTGAATAGTAGTAGAC